AAAAAAAAAAAAAAAATATTCAGGGCTTAATGAGTGCTATGAGGCTCAAAGTTGAATTCCCATCTGTTCTCTGGGTCATTTATAAACTGCAATCATAAAAAAGGGGGGACAAACAATTTTGCTTTTATATTCATGACTCACTGACCATCATGCAGGAGCATTAAGATCAGACAATGTGTCATTGTGGCATGTGTTATTAGTTATTATGCCTCTTCATATAAGCATTGCATTTGAACCAATTTTGAAGTCTTCCTTCAACTGTGATGCTGGTTTATGATCATCTTAAGGCTGTGCTGGCAGTGATGGGTTGTGAAAGTGGGATGTGTGAGGAATGCAAAGTGGCTAGAAAGACTAAAGCAAAGGCTAAGAGGATAACAGATAGGGTGGAAGTGAGGGGTGTATAAACATGGCATTGCTGATGAAATTTAGATAAAGGAGGTTCTCTCTATCAGCCCTAAATCCAAGTGAGACTAAACCACTAATTAAAACATCAAACACAACTTAGATGGTTCACATTTTGAACCCTGGCCTCCTTGAACCACTGCCTGAATACCGGTACTTGAAGTGCTGTATACTTGGCACTGTCCCTAATTTGGTGCCCTCCATCTCCTAATAAAAAACAAGTACAGTTCCAGTATGTGGCATCACATTAGTGTGTGTATGGTGCAATGCTGCTTTAGACATATTCAAGTGGGGTTCTTGCATTTTAAAGTTAACTTTTTGAACAAACTCAGTTGGGAAAAAAATTGACTTTATTCTTGACCAGATTGACGAGCTAATCGCTAATCTGACCAGAGCAAAGACCAAAGGGGATCTCTGCCATCCTAAAATAACTCCAATCTAAAAAAGAAAAATCACCTCAGTTCATGCAAACATTGTTTTATTAATGTTTACTTTGTTGTCAATTTTGCACCACATGGTGCGCACAGAGGCAGCAGCAGCTAGCTTTTAGCAGCAATTAAGTGATATATCACCAACCAAGACAAAAACAAAGTGAGCTGGAAAAAGATTTTAGGTGTGTGTACACGTATAAACCAGTATACTGATGAATAAAAGCACAACATACTCTGTTTTTATTTTAGCTTCAAATAGT